ACACCAAACCAATCATACACACGCCCTACAGCTCAATTTATGATATTAATCGGGCATTCCATTCATAAATTAACTATATTCGATGTGAGTATGTTTCAGAGTTTCAGGCAAATCTTAAATAAACAATAACAATAAATGCACTTACTGGCACAAATCGAGAATCACAATTGCAGGGTCATGTTACAAACCCTTTCCAGCCGCCTTTTCCACGAAATTAATGCTAGAGCAAGACTACTTCACTAGAATGACTCTCGACTACACTATCCATGTCGAAAGGAACGAATCGTTGTGTGTCCAGTACGAGCCAACACGGCATTAACAGCACATTCTGGCATCAGCCGAGCCCTTTCACGAATGGTGCTTCGAAGTTTAGAAGTCAAAACTACTGTTATACCTTCAGTAGTATTGTAAAGTCTGATGGAAAATACAACTGTGGTTTAGCCTTCTTGTACCCTCTTGCCTCTTTTAACTTAATTAATGATCTTAATGATTTGATGGGCTATTTTCAGCAAATAAATTTATATGATATATAAAGATTATGCGGATCTGATAACAGTTCTTCCATTTTGTAAACCTACTATTTTTTTTAAAGTATGCTTCGATGCTTAAATTAATAATATGAAATGTATTCACCCTATTTCGTCTAAAGTGATGAAGGACTGGTAGTAGAATTTTCCCACAATGATCAGAGTTGAGCTGACGTTTCCATTGAATTTCACATAGCCTTGCTTTCCCAAAAGTTGTTCTCATCCAGGGAAACGTCAGTTCAACTCATATAATTGTGGGAAAATTCTACTACCAGTCCTTCATGACCTTAAACGAAATTGGGTGAATACATCTCATATTACTGATTTACTGGTAGTCTCGAAACTCTACTCTAATACGAAAATTAAATTAATAAGTAAGCAACAGGTTGATGAATAAAAATAGATAAAGTAGTTTTTGCTTCTTCAACGTTATCTCGTGTTTACATGTCTGCTAGCATGTGTATTGTGTGCAAGCAATGATTGTGAGTCCCCAATGCTATTCAGTTTGTTTTACCAACTAAAAACTATCTGATATCTCGTTTTCTCTCTTTTTCTCCGTTTCTACAGTGAGTCAATGGAATCGCTGCTGGCTCAGCAGACAGCGGCCACGGCCGCCGCTCTCGCCTGTGGATTGCCGGTACCTTTTCGACTTTGCCCCGCCACTTCGTCCACCTCACTGCCCTCCTGCTCATCCTCTTCCTCCTCCTCCTCTTCCTCTTCTTCCTCCTCTTCCTCTTCATCGTCCTCCTCCTCCTCCTCCTCCTCATCCGCATCGTCCTCCTCTTCTGCTACCTCCTGCCTTTCCGCATGCTCTTCCACCGCCCCTCCTTTGTGTCTCGGCGGCCAGGGCTTCTCGTCTCCTTTTTGCCTTTCCACCTCGGCCGCCATGGCCCCCGTAATTGGGCTCAACAACGGCCTCTCTTCTTCCTCCACCCTTCTCCCTTCTCCCTCTCCCTCCTCCTCCTCTTCCTCCTCCTCCTCTTCTTCTTCCTCATCTTCGCCATCCACTCCCTCCGCTTCCTCCGCCTCCGCCACTTCCGCCGGCTTCACCAGTGGCCCATCCGCCAATCCAAATTCCGCGGTAGCAGCCGCGGCGGCGGCTGCCGTCGCCATAGCAGCAGCCGCAGCTGCCGCCGCTTCTGGTAGTCTGCCGTGTTCCGGATACATGTCCTGTCTGTCTAACAGCGCTTCTGCCTCGGCCGGCAACAACACCAGCACCACCAGTTGCGGTTACATGCGACCTCTGATGCTGGCCGGCGGTCCTCATGTCTCGGGCGCCGCAAATGCGCCACATGATCTCGCCATGGTCTATCCACCTCTCGCATCGTCGACGTCCACCTTCACCGCCTCTTCCTCGGCCGCCGCTGCCGCCGCTCTTCACGACCTCTTCTCGGCCAGCGTCGCTTCTCGTTCCTCGACCGGCCTCGCTCGTGGCTCCTTCTCCGCCGGCAATTCTGGCGCTTCCAGCCTCCTCTCTGCGCCTTCGCAACAGTCGATGTTGGCCAGAGCCATCGCCGCTTTTGCCAACTTCTCCTCCTCCTCCTCCTCCCCCTCCTGTTCATCTCCGCCCTCGCCCTGTCCGTCCACCACACCTTCGACAGCCTCCATCGCCGGCTATCCTTCGCAACCAGCCCACCTCATCTCACTGGCCTCGCCGTCGCCGTCGCCGTCGCCTTTACCTCTGCCCTCTCCGTTGCGACCGCCTCCCTCCGCCCTACTCATGCACCCCCTCGGACCGCCCCTCCGTAGGCCCTGCGACGATTTGCCGCCCCCGCCCCCGCCACCACCAACACCACCACAACCGTCTCCGTCGATGAACATGTCCCACGTCACCCCCAACAGTCTGGCCTCTATGGCCGTCCTGTTGGCGGCCAACTCATTGGGCTTGGCCTCAGCCAATCACAGCCGGACTCATCTTCACAACACCGGCGACGGCGACGCTAATGCTGGCGTCGTCGACGGCAACAGGCAGGTTCGCACGGACGGCGACGTGGGTCCAGCGTCTCGAGCACTCACGTCCGGCGAGACCGTCTCCTTCTCGATGCCAGCCGCGCGACAGACACACACGACTGCAGACCCTCTTGGTCTGCCCGGCGGCCCGACGATCGCCGTCGGCCCGGCCTATCCGAATTTGGACGAACTCGACCTTCAGAACGTCTGCTTCCCCACCGGACTCGGACTGCCGTTGCCAGCCGGGCCGGGCTCGCGCCATCTCGCCGGCCCACCCGGTCTGACCACACCCTCCATCGCCTTCCAGGCCTACCTCGACCTGCTGCGCAGCCTCGGCAACTGCTGCTATTCATCCCCGTTGTCTAAGCCCTGATGCACACCGTCCTTTACTCCTTTTGTCACACTCGTCTCTTCCTACCTCTCCCACTCTTCACTTCAGATCCACACCAAAGTCACCTCCTGATCTTGCATGTTAGTGATCCGTTCCGACATCTCTTCACATTTGTGAGGACTGACAACAACTTGGGGCACAAGCAAACAGTACATCATTTCGGCTCCGGATATCGTCTGCTTGTTCTCTCTTTCCGTGCCACACCTGCCAGTTTGCATTAAACCAGAGAAGAGAGCAAGGAGCACTCGTCCCTCCTCACTCTTTTAGCCCAACAACTCATACACACACACACAAATTTATATATATAAATATACAAATATATATCCATGGATTCACTCACCTTTTATTGTCTGTGTTTTTGCATACATACATATATATATATATATATATATATGTTTGTGTGTGTGTATACACGCAGTGTCTTATACGTGTCTAGCCGAGGAGAAACCAGGCTGTAATCCCTGCATGGGGCTCTACGATCCGTTCGGTTGTTGTGCCTTAACTTTTTCACAGGTTATCCAGTCGCGAACACTGAGCTGCATCATTAAGGGCATCATGAATACACGCCAACATACTACTGTTACATCTACTACTTGCTACTGGTTAAAGGTTATATCTTGCGTATTGTTTCTTGGGCGACTGGAAATGCATTTATGCTAGCCTCATCTTTGGTTTGTTGTGGTTCTCTTTTTGACGTTCGCACATAAGATCATGAACAATGAGGCCATGTTGGGCCTCAGTTTGGATAAAGCATGCCCACGTACAAAATGCCCTTTGCAGAGGCTTCATACAAGTCGACTCATTTTGGTGCTGCTCACGACATGCGAAATGCCCTTGCAGAGCGCATCAAGATATCCTTTATAACTCAACTACTTTCCGTATATCATTATCTTTCTTTATACAAACCATATATGCACATTTTAATATATATATATATATATATATATAATATATCATAAAAAATAAAAATTATAGCCTTATAGCCCTTTAGACTTATTGTATGAAGAGCATGCTGAACTGATTCAACTAAGGAAAAAGGCTAATTTCCGTTGTCTTGACGACGCGTTTGGCTTTACTACGATATACAGGTTGACGTAATCCATGATACATCCTTTCTTGTTTCGGGTGAAAATATGTTAAGCTCTCTTTCATAGTAGGACCAACATCGTCAGATCTAGAACCTATAAATAAAAACGAAAATGTATGGATAAAGATGCTTATTAAATA